AGGTTGTTTATTTATTTATTTATTTATTTATTTATTTATTTATTTTGCGAAACTGGGGATTGAACTCAGGTCCTTGTGCTTGCCAGGGAAGCACTTATTCTACTGAGCCATCTCCCAGCCCTCTTAATAGGTTGTTTTGCAGAACACAATTTTTAATTTTGACAAAGTCTCATTTGATCATTTTTTCTTTTATGGATTATGTTTTTAATGTGAAGGTTAAAAACTCTCTCCCTTCCCTTAGATCCTGAATATTTTGTCCTATGTCTTTTTCTAAAATGTTTACAGTTTGGCATTTTACAGTTCAATTCATAATCTATTTGATGTTTCCTTTTTGTAAGGCATGATGTGCAAAACTTTCAGGTTCTTTGCCCAGGCATATACAGTTACTCCAGTACCATTTAGTGAAAAGCCCCTCTCTCCTCCATTGAACAGGCTTTTGCACTTTGTCAAAAATCAATTTGGTATCTGGGCATGATGGCACACACCTGTAATCCCAGAACTCTGGGTCACTGGGGCAGGAGGATCTTAAATTTGAGCTTAGCTCAAGCAACTTGGTGACTTGTAAGGCACTGTCTCAAAAAAAAAAAAAAAAAGGCTGAGAATGTAGAAGGTCTTGGGTTCAATCCCAAACACTAAAAGGAAAAAAAAGAAAGGAATGAAAGGAGAGAAAGAGAGGAGGAAGAAAGGAGGGAGAGAGAGAGAGAGAGAGAGAGAGAGAGAGAGAGAGAGAGAGTATGTGGTGGTCTATTTTGCATTTCTCCACCTTACCACACTCATTGCTACAGCTATAGAGTAAGTTCTAAAATCAGGTAGACTAGGGGCCAAGGAGATGGCTCAGTGGAATAAGCGCTTCTCTGGCAAGCACAAGGGCCTGAGTTCAATCCCTGGTTCCGCCAAAAGAAAAAAAAAGAGGTAAAATCAGGTAGACTGACTCCTTTCCCTTTGTTATTAAAAATGGTTTCAACTGTTTTACTTCCTTTTTACTATACTTACAAAAACCTTGCCAACAGTTTGATGGAAAGCATATTAAATTTCTTATCAGTTATGGGAAGAATTGATATCTTCATGACCTGCAACCTAGGGACGTGGTATTTCTCTATATTTATATTTTCTATGATTTCTTCCAGCAGAACTGTGTAGTTTTTAATATATAAGTCCTGTATACATTTTGTTAGATTTATAATTAATTGTGTTTGTGTGTGTACGCAAACACACTTATGTACTTCTGGGATTCAAACCTAGAACCTTATGTGTCATAAGCATTGTATGATTTTTTTAAATGAAAAAAACAAAATTTATAACAAAATAATAAAAGAGGGGCCAGGGAGATGGCTCAGTATAATAAGCGCTTCCCTGGTAAGCGCAAGGACCTGAGTTCAATCCACGGTTCTGAAAAAAAAATAATAATAATAATAAAAGAATAATAGTTAATGCACTATATGTTATTTTCTTCAAAATACATATTCAGAGTATAAGAAATAGGCCAAAAGGACTCTTACAAAGAAAAGGAAAAAACATAACAACACAGAGCTTTTTAAATTAACTTTATTTCCTGAAATCTTACTGAGTACATTCATTGTAAAAGTTTTTTTTTTCATTTTTAAAAGAAAAAAAACAAAATTTCAAAATAAGATAATAGGAGAGTAACAATGATTAATACATTGTGTATTGTTATCTTTAAATTAGTTACTTAGAATACAAGATATGAATATTTAATTGTCCAAACAATATTATCACAAACCTTTATTTTTCAATGAATTAAAAAAAATTAGTACTATCAATATCTTAACTATCTTAGAGGTGTTTTTTTTTTTTTTTTTTTTTTTTTGTGGCCGGCTCCACCCACCCTGGGGGCAGGACTAGTGTGGCATGTGGTACAGGGATCAAACCTTGGTCTTTGTACTTTACCTAAGCCTGCCTAAGCAGGCACTTTAGACTGCTGAGCTATCTCGCTGGCCCTATCTTAATTATCTCATCTCTTGGATATCTGTCTGTCTATCTATCTATCTATCTATCTATCTATCTATCTATCTATCTATATCTATCTTTTTGCTTTTCCTAGAAGGGTCTGTGTGTGATTTTTCAGTAAAAGATTGCATGGAATTTTCTGTAGTATTTCATGTAATCTGTACATAGGCATAGTTTACTTTTCCTTTTTGAATTATTTTGCATTTACTTCCTTTTCCTTCCTTAATACACTGGCTGGAACTTCTAGCCCTATACTGAGCAGGAGTAATGAGAGCAGAAATTGTTACTGTGTACACAAGCTGGTGTAGGAGTCATTCTCTTACCATTAAGTGAAATATTAGCTATAGGTTTGCTGAAGATGGTATTCATCCAATTGAAAGGGTAATTTTAATCTTATTTTCCTGAGAATTTTTTAAAACTTATTATTCAGTTCTGAATTTTATTAAATGTTCTTTGCATGGTTAATATGATAATGAAATATTTCTTCTTTTACCTGTTAATATAGAAGATTATACAATTGAAATGTGCATATGAAACCAGCTTTACACTCATGAAATAAACCCCTTGTGGTCATAAAACCTAAGATTTTCATATATTGCTCAATTCTATTTCCTAATATTTTGTTGAAGACTTTTTATCTTTATTCATGAGGAATATTGGTCTATAAGGGCTTTTTTGTTGTTGTTTTTGCTCTTTTTTTTCTTTCTTTCTCTTTCTTTCTTTTGGTGCTATCTCTGTTGTTGTTTTAACATCAGGGTAATTATAGCCTTAAGAGTTGAGTTAGAAAGTATAACCCTCTTTTATTATCTCAAAAAGATTGTCTAGAGTTGCTGTCAATTCTTTTTAAAACATTTGTTAGAATCCTTAGTAAACTACACAAGTCAGTGTATGTCTTTTGGGATGATTTTAAAATTACACATTCAATTTTCTTAATATTTATAGGAGTATTCATATTTGGCGAGTGGTGGTAGTATTTTTGAAGAGTTGGTCCACCTCATCTAAGTTAGCCAATACGTGTTTATAGAATTAAGAATATTCTCTTATCATTTTGTTGTCTGTAGAGTCTGTAGTAATATTCTTTGTTTCCTTTTTTGTCAGTCTTACTAGAGATATTCTGTTTATTGATCCTTTCAAAGAACAAGGTCTTTGTTTCATTGATTTTTCACTATTATTTTTCTATTTTAAATTTCATTGATTTAAATTATTCTTTCCTTCTGATTGTTTACTTTTTTCTCACAGTGCCTGAGGGGTAAGTTTTGACTCTTTCCTAATACGTGCACTTAGTGCTATAAATTTTCCTATTATGATGGCCCTACCAGTGTCCCATACATATTTTTTAAATTTTATTTTATTGAGAAACAAATATCAATGAGACAGTTTCAAAACTGATTAATAGGACAGTTTCAATAATTGAATACATTGTACATTGTTATCTTCTTAGGGGTTATCCATAGTACAAGATGCAGACAGAATATCCTGTCCAAATACTATTGGTACAAACCTTTCTTCAAATTGAATTGAGTGAAAATAGCTGTATATGTATCCTAACTATTCTGCATATACAGATAAAAAATGGTCCTTCCTTTGTATCGCCTTTTTTTGTTTAGTCCTGTCAGAAATGGGTATTCCACTGGCATCTAAATACTATAGGTGCATGAATTCAGCAAAATAATCCAATGCAGTCCAGTAGTCCACAATGGTAGTGGGTTATCCACTACCATTGTTGTTGACTTGAGCCTTTCACAGCTCAGCATATTAATATGGCTTTACATTATATACCTCATTTTTATATTTTTCTGCTGGATGGTTACCAAGATAAAGCAAGAACTGTATAACAAGAAATGTAATTCTTGTATATGATAAGTTCAGTCAAGTCCCCTCAGGATTTATCCTGTAACCATGTACCACAATTTGCAGATCCTTTGTCAGTGTCAGCCATGTGGATGAGTCACAGCCACTGCTTGACCAGTTTGCTCTCTGTGAAAGCCTGAGAGAATGTTTTCTCTCCAGGTGACTTTCCTTAGGTACACTCTACATCATCGATCACGTTGCTCTGTGGCCCCATACTCTCCTTGATCAGAAAATTTGGGACACAACTGAGCTACCTGATGTTCCACTATAGGTTTTCCTATGTCCTGAGTCTTCACTGACCTTTTTTTTTGTTTGTTTATTTGTTTGTTTTTCTGGAACCGGGGATTGAACTCAGACCCTTGGGCTTGCCAGGGAAGCACTTATTGCACTGAGCCATCTCCTAGGTTCCCCATACATATTATGTTTTATTTTCATTTTAATTAAGTTCTATGTATTTAAAAATTTCCTGAGATTTCCTCTTTAACATGGATTATTAGAATCTTCCTACCGTCGCGTTTGCATCTTGCTGCTTCAACCTGCAGGGCACGTTTCATCCTTCCAACCCATGACCAGCAAAGGAAAAAAGCCTACATATTTTCTTGCCCCATACATTCCTGGAGACGAGCAAAAAAAGTTAATTTTGACCATGACGGAAATTGTGCACATCCAGGTCGGTCAGTGTGGCAACCAGATCGGTGCTAAGTTTAGGAGGTGATCAGCGATGAGCATGGCATCGACCCCACCGACACGTACCATGAGGACAGTGACCTGCAGCTGGACCGCATTTTCATGTACTACAATGAAGCCACAGGTGGCAAATACGTTCCTCGTGCTATTTTGGTGGATCTAGAACCTGCAATCATGGACTCTGTTCGATCTGGTCCTTTTGGCCAGATCTTCAGACCAGACAATTTTGTTTTTGGTCAGTCAGGGGCAGGCAACAACCGGGCCAAGGGCCACTACACAGAGGGGGCAAAGCTGGTGGATTCTGTCCTGGATGTGGTGCGGAAAGAGGCCGAGAGCTGTGACTGCCTGCAGGGCTTCCAGCTGACCCACTTGCTGGGTGGCGGCACAGGCTCTGGCATGGGCACCCTGCTCATCAGCAAGATCCGAGAGGAGTACCCCGACCGCATCATGAACACCTTCACCATGGTGCCCTCGCCCAAGGTATCCGACACCGTGGTTGAGCCCTACAATGCCACCCTCTCTGTCCATCAGCTGGTGGAGAACACAGATGAGACCTACTGCATTGACAACGAGGCCCTGTACGACATCTGCTTCCGCACCCTCAAGCTGACCACACCCACCTATGGAGACCTCAACCATCTGGTCTCAGCCACCATGAGCGGCGTCACTACCTGCCTCCGCTTTCCTGGCCAGCTCAATGCCGACTTGCGCAAGCTGGCCTTGAAAATGGTGCCCTTTCCACACCTGCACTTCTTCATGCCAGGGTTTGCCCCTCTCACCAGCCGTGGCAGCCAGCAGTACCGTGCCCTGACCGTGCCTGAGCTCACCCAGCAGGTCTTTGATGCCAAGAACACGATGGCTGCCTGCAACCCGCGCCAGGGCCGCTACCTCATGGTGGCTGCTGTCTTCTGAGGCCGCATGTCCATGAAGGAGGTGGATGAGCAGATGCTCAACGTGCAGAACAAGAACAGCAGCTACTTCGTGGAGTGGATCCCCAATAATGTGAAGACGGCTGTGTGTGACATCCCACCAAGTGGCCTCAAGATGGCTGTCACCTTCATTGGCAACAGCACAGCCATCCAAGAGCTGTTCAAGCGCATCTCAGAGCAGTTGGCCATATTCCGGCCCAAGGCCTTCCTGCACTGGCACATGGGCGAGGGCATGAACAAGATGGAGTTCACCGAGGCTGAGAGCAACATGAATGACCTGGTGTCCAAGTACCAGCAGTACCAGGACGCCACTGCGGAAGAGGAAGAAGATTTCGGGGAGGAGGCAAAAGAGGAGGCTTAAGCCAGAGTCCCTGTCACCTCGGGCTCCTCACTTCCTCAGCCA